CTTTAATTCCGCTACAGTTTTCTCAGATATGGTGTATATCACACCTGTCCAAGAAATCCAAGCTACAGTGAAGTGGAGGAACTTGCCTAACATCATAGAGGCCACAGGACGGTGAGGGTTCAACAATCCAGGGAGTCTGCTAGTGCTTTAAAGCACTAGTAACAATGCCACTCAGAAGTCAATAAATCCCAGAGTGGGCCTTAACTACAGACATGTAGAAAGAAATGTATTTCTTCTTTGTGCCCAAATACAGCTCATACATAATGCACTGTGGAGGGAGAGAACCATGAGTGACGTGTTCACAGTTCCTTGTAGGAGATCAAGCTACAGTTTGTTAGACCAAGTTATAAAATAGCAACTTAAGATCAAGCTACAAAAGGTATATTTTGTTTCCTGAACATTTTATTAAAATAATCCAAGTGTTGTGATGTTTTTATTATCATACCTCCTTCGTCCTCAAGGAGTGATCTGATGTATAATGTTCCCAAGTAATAATTACATAAAACCAGACTGCTACTAAACACTAGTTAACTAGACTTTCTCCGTCTTTATAATCACGCATATGAAAATGCGGATATACATATAAACAAGCAAACCCAAACCTACAACACTGTACTTTGAGTATCAAAATCTCAAGTTAGACACACTGTATCATGTGAACAGGTGTGTGCTGGACACTGCCTACATAAATGGCCAGGCGGTCTTTACCTCCCTCCTTTGGGGCCACTTCACACCTGACTGACCTCCTGCAATTCCCTGCATGCCAATCTTCCTTCCTCTGCCAGTTTACCACCACAGCTGCTAATAAAGCACAATTCTGCCATCCCCTCACCCCTTCTAAAAGCACAGTGGAGCCAGGAGGTTCAGTACGGTAGAGAATCATACCTACATATATGCACACACATAAATCCCAAATAAAATGCTAACGGCAACAACCTGTTAACCTTTATTTCATTACTATCAGTCCGGCATCTGTCACCCATCTTGCAGTAACTCTTCTCACCATCCTGGAAAGGCCTGAGAAGCAGACGTGGACTTGGAACAAACATTTAACATTTACCGGTCTACTCAGTAGTCTGGTCTACTCCCACAACTGCTGGTAGTAGAAATGTTTGCCTCACTTTGCTCCGCCATCATACTCTGGACTGATAAAGGCAGTGACTAAGGTCCAGTCGGATAGCATCAGAATGATGAGACAACAGAGGAAGAACTCCCATACAGCTCACTTTCTTCTTTAATTAAGGGTGGCCCCAACACCAGTCTTCTTTCTAGTAAAAACCAAACTACAGACTGATGACTAAATTGCTATGCAATTTTTAGGCTACTTGACTTAATCTGTGCTCATACAAATACAAGATCTTTACATCTTTAGAAATAATAAAACAAGTCCCAAGCAACCTAACCTGATAGAGGTGGAATGTGATTTTCTTTCCCACAATTTTATGACACAACAAAGTTTTACCAACATTTTTGCTGTTATCCATACTAATCCACCTAACACATTCCTAGTTCTGGAACACCAGACAACATCCACAAAATAAAATTCCTAGTTAAAAGGAGCAGTGGAAAAGGAGAAAGTATTTTGTAAAATAGAAACACCACCAGGAAGGTAACCAGAAGATACTATCTGAAGAGAAATTCTACCCTATAGTGGATTTTATATTTTTTGTGCTGGAGGTAGATGTGGATTTATGTCTGTATTTTTATGGCAGATGGCAAAGCTGTGACTAATCAATAATCAATCCCTCCTGTAAAAAATACTCTAGGGAGAGCATGGTAGTAATTACAGAAATCTGTAAACTACAAAAGATGGTCAAGGAAAAAACTTTAAATATTCAAAAATTATAAAGGATGCTTTGTGGTATATACATTTGCAATATAAAAATAAAGATTCAAATAAAACCAAATGATAAAGCTAAACCCCATACCTACATTAGACTTTCCTAACTACTCTTTTACACTAACTTTATGAAAATTTATACAATCTAACTCAACATCTCACTTTATATCGCATTAGAAACAGAAACAGAGAATTAATACATTTAGAATGTAAAGCAAAAGGAAAAAAAAACAACTGGTTTAAGCAAGAACCTGCAGTCTAAAATGCTAATGAACTAAAGTGAACTGTCTTGAAATGGAAAAAAAAAAGTCCCTTTTATTATAGTAGCAAATTATTTCACCAGATTCTGTATTTTACTAATGAACACCAACATAAAAACTACATGTAGCCTGCATCTTTGTGACGTCATGATCAAAAAGTATTAACCTATATAGATAGCCCTGGTATAAAGACTATTTTTTAGAGGTGGGAGGGCAGGGAGGGTAAGGTGGGATGGGGAGGTGTATCACTGGGTATGGGAGATACTACACCAGATAAGAAAATCTTTTTAAAAAGTACATCTACTTGGGGCGTCTGGGTGGCTCAGTTGTAAATGTCTGCCTTCGGCTCAGGTCATGCTCCCAGGGGTCCTGAGATCGAGCCCCCCTCCCACCCCCCCAGCATCGCATACAGCTCCCTGGTCAACAGGAAGCCTGCTTCTCCCCTCTCTCACTCCCCCTGCTTGTGTTCCCCTCTCTCGCCATGTCTCCCTCTGTCAAATAAATAAAATCTTTAAAAAACAATGTACATCTACTCATATAGCAGAGATGTGTGATCTCTTCCATATCTGATGACAACACCCCCCCCCCGAATAATAAAGCCTCTCATCAATCAGCAATAGGATCTAAATCCTACAAATAATAAATATACTTCAAACAAGGCACCTTTAGAAACAGTTCAGCCAGGGCGCCTGGGTGGCTCAGTGGTTAAGCCACTGCCTTAGGCTCAGGTCGTGATCCTGGAATCCCTGGATCGAGCCCTGCATCAGCCTCCCAGCTCCCCGCGGGGAATCTGCTTCTCCCTCTGACCTTCTCCCCTCTCATGCTCTCTCTCACTCTCTCTCTCAAATAAAAAAGCAAATAAATACACCTTTAAAAAAAAAGTTCAGCCCACAGCAGCAGTTATTAAACATGACTACTGCATGTTATCGGAGATAAATGCAACCTTTTAGAAAAAAGGAATACACTTAAAACTTCCCTTACTTGGGTAAAAATATTTTACATAAAGAGTAAGATGTAATAATGACAAAAAACTTGAATAAAATTTATATATATATATACATATATATATGCAGCTTTTATTTCATCATGCAAGGAAAAAATAAGTATAAGAAGACTGAAAAGGAAATATGCAAAACCAAATCTAAGTGGTAAGATTACAGAAGATAATTTTTAAAAATTTTCCAGTACCTCTTGCACTTTATAAATTTTTTAACTGAAAAAAGTTGACATTCACTCATCATATAAACAAACAACAAACAAGTGTTTATGAAACTAACATGGGTTCTGGGCTGCTTCCACAAATCATATATTCTAGACTTTGAGTAAAGCTAATTATCTTCTAGTAATTGGGGAAAAATGTACAAAATCAAGCTAGATTTTCACTTCTCACTCTCCCATATTTATGTAACTGAAAATAAAGAAATGTTTACCTTTCTGTAAGTTTCTATGTCCAACTTGCCATCCCAGAATGCTAGTAACAATCTGATTGTTTAAAATCATCAATTTAGACTGCTTTACAAAATGCCATTTCGAAGAAGTTATGATCAACTCAGTAATTCCAAAGTGTAGCCAGCTAATACACCGTGGGAGAAGTTTTGATGCATTTTAGTGACCCGCACCAACAGAATTGCCTTATGTGCAAAGAGCTTATTTTAAACGCATCTTTCCATTACCTCTTAAGAGCATGATATCTAAATGAAGCTTTTTGCAAAAGGTACTTTGCTTAGCCTGGACATGAATTTATTTGTAGCTGTCAAAATCTATCTCAAACTGCATTATATTCAAGGCACAGAACGTCAACTCTTCACTGGGCCTCCTTCTCTTTCTTTCACAGGACGCCCTTAATATCTCCTAGCTTACATTTCCGGGCTCATGAGTCACTGAGTAATGAGCTCTAAGTTTACCTTAGAATGCCACTCAAATAGCTCCTCTACAATATTCAAGGGTCTGGCCCCCCAATACCTCTGTAGCCTACCCTTAACTCCCCAACATGGCCACAGAAAACTGAATTATCCACTATTTCTAGACTATGCCTTTTTATCTTTGTCCTCTAGTTTGCTGTCCCTCCTCATACCGTCTCTTCCCCATCCGTCCTCTCCCAAACCCCACCGGGCCTTCAAGACCCAGCTTGGCACCGCCTCGCCCAGGAAGCCTTCCAGATCTCTGCTAGGCGGAAGTGATCGATCGGTACGGTCATCCCCGGGTGTCTTTCTAGCACTTTGTAGTTCTTTCACAGGACTTATCACCTCTTTCCTGGTATCGAGGTTATTTGCGTACTGGTCTTATCTCCCACACCAGAGCGTAAGCTCCTCGGGGGAGGGGACCTTGGGCCCCGGTTCCCCTTCGAACCCCTCTGGCGCGGACCGAGCATAGCGCCCGCACGCAGTGCAGAGCTCGGCTTGGTTCAACCGAACTCGGGAACGCTCCGGCCGCACAATTCCTAACCAGAAGTCAGTTAGGCATTTTCCCCAAATGAAGATCACAAAAGATGCTGCCTGCCTCCCCACAGCAGGAAGTTTACCAGGGGCCAGGAGTGAGGCGGCCAGAGCCGTGTGCTATGGGAGTGACAGCTGGCCCGACCCGCAACTCCCTGCTCACCCGACTCCGGCCGCGTACGCCCCCAATCGCCAGCCCTGCCAGAGAACCGCGAGGGGTGGCAGGGGAGCACCGGGCGTCCAGAGCCCCGGCCGCAGGCCGCTGGGCGCCGCGCCGGAGGGGACTAGGAGGGAAGGCTCCGCAAAGGGCCCGGCCCGGGCCGAGCCGAGCCGAGCCGAGCAGGGAGGCGCCGCCTCCGCCACCGGAGAAAATGGAGGCAGCCCGGGGGCCGGTGACGGGCCGGGGCAGGCGGAAGCCGGGCGGACGTCTGCGCCGCGAGCAGGGCCGGGCTGGGGGTCACTCACCGGGCTGGGCCGGGCGGCTCCCTCTCTGCCTCCGCGTCGTCGCCGTCCCCGTCCTCGGCCGCCGCCGCCTCGGGCTGCTCGCTGGGTCCCCGCGGCGCGGCTCGGGCGCTCGGCCCCTCCGTTGTCTTCCGCCTGCTCCTGCTCCCGGTGACCGACTCCCGCGGCTGTGGCTGCGCGGGCGGACGGCGGCCAAGGGGCTCCCGCGGCGGCCGCTGCACTGCTGCGCTCACTCGCTTGGGCTACGGCTGCGGCTGCTGCTGCGGGACCAAGCGCCGCCTTCGCCTTTGCCGGCTGCTGGAAGATCAGTCTCTCCCAGGCCTCGCCGCTCCCCGCTCCCGGCCCGAGCCCGGCTTTGACGTACGCACTGCGCAGCCGCGGAGGGCGCGACGTCGGGCGGTGCCGCAACGACCCCTGCGGCCTCGGGCGCGCCCTAGCGGCCGGGCGGACTCGCGACAGCGGAGTCCGCGCCTAGGCCGAAGCGGGAGGGGACGCAGAGAAAAAGCAGCACCCGAGCATGGGAAGGTATGTATGGGGGGGCGGGGTGTTCTTTCACCTGCCGCTTCAGTGTTGGTGCTCAGCCTTTCTCGGCTGTCTCAGCACTCTTCCTGGAAGAATCCTACGTCCGCTTTCTACGACCACTTCCTCAACCGTTAACAAAGCTTTATTTTTTCTAAATGCCAGGGGCCCACTTTGTGTAGACAGAGTCTTTCATACTTGCGAGGGACAGGTAACTCTCATGTAGTATCCTCTGAGCCAGAGTGCAGAGAGTGATGGAATGATCCAGATTAATAGGACTCAACAGTCTGAATTTAAACTCCAGCTCCACGATGTGGTCTCCAATGGATTATTTCATGTCCCTGTGACGGGTTTCCTTTACACACACACACACACACACACACACACACACACACACACACAAAACGTATAGCAACACAGGACGATAGGCTTATGAGGATGAACGAAATAATGCATCGCAAAGCTCTGGCAGCAGAGTCCGCTACGTAGAAATGCCATGCATATATATTTTTGTTTCACTCTGTTGCTTTGGTTTAATTTGTAATTGAACCGGGTATTTTCGAGCATCTCCTGTGTGCCGCTATTCTAGGCGGCAGGACCGTGAACAAAGCAGTCCCCGCTCCTGAGACATGCCAATAAATAAACCAACACATATAGGACATTGGGTGGTTTCTGGTGCTATGGAGACAAACAGCACAGACTAAGGAGGGAAGAGAAGGGAAGACACTGTTAGTTACAGCGCTCCTACGGGGAGCAGCTACGTGAAGAAAGCAGGTTGTGAGCTTTCTATATGGAAAGGCAGAGGGAACAGCAAGGATGAAGGCCCTGAGATGGGACACCAGGAAGCCCAACAAGGCAAGCACACTGAGGGAGGGGAGAGGGGAAAATAGGAGGAGAGAAGGGGGAACCAAACAGAACAAAGTGAGGACTTTGGTTTTCACTCTGCATGAGATGGGAAGCTATTTGGAGGGTTTCAAGCAGAGAAAGGCCGTGGTCTGAGCCTTCAAAAAAGGCTGTAAAGACCATCCTGAACGGCCTGTGGGTTTCAGCCAAGATACTGATTAGAAGGCCTTTGAAATAATCCCGTCAAGAGAAGACAGGCTCAGCCCTGGGTGGTAACGGTGGAAGAGGAAAGAAGTGGTTAGGTTTTAGACACATTGAAAAGGTAGAGCTTACAGATTTTTGCTGATTTCCAAACTTTTTTGGTTTTTGGCTTTTCAAGCAATTGGAAGATACAGTTGGTGAAATGAAGATTTAAACAGAAGCAGAAAGGAAGGGAGGAACTCTATACATCTGGGGCCATATTAAGTTTGAGCTGCCTGTTAGAAACCCAACTAGGAAACTGGATATAGAAATCTGGGGTGTGGGGGAGAGGTCCAGGCTGGAGATAGAACTTTGGGAGCCTGCAGAATAGGTAAAATCTCAGGACTCAGTGAGGTCATTTAGGGAGTATTAGTGAAGTGTGGGGGCCGGGGATGAGCCTGAGACTCCCTGATATTGAGAGGTCAGACAGGAAGATAACAAGGACCCAGCAAAAGATTCTGAGGAAAGGAGCCAGGGTGGCAGTGAGAAGAAAGCATCACATGCTGGAAGACCAAGGATGGAGGATGGACTCGTGCCACCAAATGAAGCCAGTAGTTCAAGTAAGGCTAGTGTTGGTAATTGGACATTGGTGTCAGTTACCACATAGGTAACTAGTAGCCTTGGTAAGTGCCATTGAAATAGAGGTGGGTGGGAAAACCTGCTTGGCATGGTCTCTAGAAAGAATGAGACCTAGAAAGAATGGGGCTCTAGAAAGAGACCATGACCACTTTTTCATGAAGTTTTGCTCTAAAGGGGAGCAGAATCAGGGTGACAGTTGGAGGGGAATATAGGGTCAAAGCAGATTTTTGTTTTGCTTCATTTGTTTTGTTTTTAGAATGGAAGTGCCAATGTGAACAATTTAGTAGCAAGGAAAAATTCGATAATGAAGGTATGTGGGGCAGAGGGACATTTTCTGGAAAGCCATCCTTGAGTGAGCAAGAAGAGAAGGCAAGGGTACTAGGGTACCTCAGGTACCAGCAAGGCTGATGTTCACAGACAGTAACAGAGGGCAGGCAAGGTGTGGGCATAGAGACAGGGAACCTGATGGATGAGGTACCAGAATGTGGGGACTTGTCCTTCTGAGAGCTTCTATTTTCTTAGGGAAACAGGAAGCAAGGTCATCAGTTTGGAGTGTGGAGAGGGAAGAGGTGTCAGAAACTTGAGGGAAGAGGAGAAGGTGTAAAGAAGGATCAGTCAGCAGGGTGGTTCTGTTTTCACTGGCCACATTTGGCTGAGCAGGTGCAGGCAAAGGAAGGTGGGGAGTAGGATTCCACCAGGGTTATTTTTGTGGAGAGAGAAAGGGAAAGGAAGGAGAGGTATGTATATGCAAGGAAGTAATATTGTACAATGACCAGCTGTTGAATCCAAGCCAGATGAGAGGGGGTGGTGAGCCAATTGGGCTGACAGGAGGTGGGGGCAGTGGTAGAGGAGAGTCCCTGTAAACCTGCTGGAATCCATGGAATGATGGGCAGAAATTGTTGGAATCAGCACAGGAAGGGGGGGTGAGCTGGAAAGAAAGAGGTGCTGGTGGTGGGAGAGGCAGGTTGCTTGCAGTGAGATTATGTGAGGCATGGTTCTCAGTAAATGCAAGGCCTGGGGCAGCTTCTCAGACCATGATGTCCACGGGCATTCTGGGAAGATCTTGTCGAAATGCGGTTACTGATGGCATTGGCCTGTGGCGGGGGGGGGGGTGGTGGTCCATGATCCCACATTTCCAACAAGTTAGGGTGGGATGGGGAGGATGCTGATTAGTCTTACTCTTATTAGTAGCCTTGATACCAAACCTCAGTTAATCTAGTACACACACACACACACACACACAGAAAACTAGACTAACCTTGTTAGTGAACAGGTACAAGAAATGGCAGCACGTTAAAAGTAAAGTCCACCCTAACCAAGGACAGTTTATGCCAAGCATATTAGAAGCTCATTAGAAGAACCATAGCTGTTGAGGGGCTGTCTCTGCTCAGAGAGACATAAGCTGACAAGAAATCCAGAGCAAGCCTTGGACTTGGGGAGTGCCTGATTCCTGGAGCTGTCTCTTTGCTTTTCTCTGGTAATGGCGGAAGGGAGGTGCCCGGCAGTCTCAAGTGTGAGGACTACACGTTTTATCTAAGTTTGAAACTTTGTTTAATAAGGACTTTACCCCACAGCAATGTGTGTGTGTGTGTGTGTGTGTGTGTGTCTGTGTTTGTGTGTGTGTTTAAAGCCAAGAGTTCCTTTTAATTGTAGGCCCAAAGGGAAAAGGAAGCCTTTAGTGTGCTCAATTTCCACAAAAACAACTGAGGAACCAATTTCCCAAAAAAATAAAAGAATGCATGGAGTTGATAATCCCCTATGCAGGGGTTTGATTCCTTTGTTTTAAGGGTCAGATCAGGATTCCAGATTAATCTCTTAACTGGGATAAAGCCACTGCAATGGCAAGATAGCAGAAATTTCTGGAGCCAGGGTTTGTAACAAATTCTGAAGCCCAGTGGAAGGCGTCATGACATTTGACTGCTTGAATTTATGCTGGGAGACACCCTCTGTGTCCTTCTATGGAGCCTTCTGGAAAGCCCTTTCTACTAATGTATTTCTTTGTAGGCACAACCTCTTTCTGGGAAATTCCTCTACCCCTTCATCTTGAAACCCCCTTCACAGAGGGTCTCCCCCACCCCCACCTTCTAGTGCAGCATCCGTAGATCTCAGGGTCCTAAGACGGGGCCCTCATGTTTAAGGAAAACCAATCAGTGATGGTCCTGTGTAAATGTCTTGTCACTTTCATTTCCTTTCCTCTCCTCCACTGAAGTTGGATCATCAGAGGAAGACACCTCCCTCCCTTCATCACACCATCTGTGAAAGGACTTTGAAGCCTGACTCACGGCTTCCTCTCCACCCCACCCAGTGCCTGACTTCTCTCGGGCAACATTAGTGCCACTCATCTAATATGTTGGACCATAGTTCCCTCATATCATCCTCCCTGATGACCTTCACTTCCTTTCCACTTCATCAGCCACTTAATTGGCCCTACCCTGGTCTCTGCAGTGGCCAGACTCTACCTTTGAAGCTTGACATTTGTGACTTTCCTGGGTAACTGCTTCTCCCATGCACCTACCCTCTCCACTCCCTCAGACCCACCAGACCTGCTCTAAATTTCATTGAAACCTTATTTATTCAACAGATACTTTTTGAAAGCACATAATTACTGGACATAAGCAGTGGTAATGAGACGTTGAACAACGCAGAGTCCCTGCTGTCAATGATCTTGGAGTCCGGGAGAGACACACAAGTAAACAGGCAGTTACAGAAGGCTGAGACATGGGGCATGAGTAAGAGTTAGGCCATTGAAGATGGAGATAAATGTTTGGGAAAATCATGCAAATACCATAAAAACAGGAAAGCATGGTAAATTTAGGGAAGTGCATGGGAGTAGCTCAGATATAGAGCTTAGTTTTAAAAGAGAAATTTGTTTTAAAGATTTTTATTTATTCAACAGAGAGAGAGAGAGATCACAAGTAAGCAGAGAGGCAGGCAGAGAGAGAGGAGCAAGCAGGCTCCCCACTGAGCAGAGAGCCCGACGCAGGG